ATGTGTGGTTAAGTGTGTATGTGTAGCCGACACATAGTTATAAATGTATTTATTTTATAGTTATATACAAACAAATATCGTGATACAAAGTAAATTTAGATAGAAAGGGAGAACAACAATAAAAAAAAAAACGTGCCAAGACTGTGGGGAGCCGAAGCTCTGCAGAACAGCACTGTGTGAAGAACCAAAAACACCAGCTTGACCTACACCTTTAACAAAGGTGGGGATAATCTGAAATTCGTGGATGCACTGTAATTCGTGGTCTGATTGCTCATTTGTGTATCTGGTAACTTCTCCACCAGTGCTGCATCCTGCGGTGGATGGGCTTCTGACGTTCGTTTCATCTTCTGAATCAATTACTGCTTCAGCAGTTGGCCAGGCTTTAGCTGTTTCAGCATGTTATTTTGCAGTGAATCGGGTGTCAAAAAAAACATGACATTGTTTTTATGTTTTTTCTGTTCTTAAATTTCCCTTATGTCACAACATAATTTTGTTGTTTTTAGAGCACGAGAAACAGAGCACAGCGGTACAGTTGCTTCATGTGCAGCAGGAGATCAGCGACCTGGCTTATGGGAATTACAGGATTTATGCGGATGCTGGAAGTACCACGGAACAATGTCGAGCGCTGGTTAGCTCTGCTCATTTCCATGTTTTGCACTCGCTGCAACTGTTTCAGTAGAATCGCTGTTAGTTAATTCTCGAAATCTGCCCTGTTTTTTTTTTTTTTTGATTTCTTTGAGAAACAGAGACATTCGGAATTGATCTCGGGCTATCTCTGTTTGCCGATAGAATCACGCATTGGCAAGTCCGTCGATGGCACTCTGCCAAATGTTGCTTGAGGAAAAACTAGATGTCAGGTGTGTAATGGTGAGGCCTGAGACGTGCTATGAATGCGTCTTGAAAGAGCACATACGTATTTCATTTAAAATCGAACGTATAGATTATGCACCGAATAAAATCATTCGAAAGCGAGGGGGTAATGTTTTAGATCTTTGCGTTAGCTGGCTTTTTTGGGTAGCAATAAGACTTGCCCTTAACATCCCCTTGCATTTGAGAGGCAGAAACGTCCGGAAGCTTCCCCGCTATGGTACATGTCAATAGCAATCATTCGCTGGCAACGCTCTTTACGGCTTCCTTTTTGGACGATCGCCTAGAAGCAAGTCAAAGACGGGTTTGACGTCCTGGCTTTTTTCAGTTCTAGTTTACCATAAAAACGAATGAACGATTCGTAGAGGGATTGGTTGTCCTGCTGAGCGTAGTGATGGTAGTGAAACAAATAAAATGTTTCTGATTTAATGATAAATCAATGTCCCTGCTCCTTTAGTGCGCTTCTTAGGCACTTGTCACCTTAAAAGATAGAAATATCTTTTTCAAAGAATTCCGTATTTGCAAATTGACTTTATTCGGTGAGCTGATGGAATCAATGAATTTGTTTCAGTTTGGCGAGGCGAGCGGCATGGTCGAAGATATCGAGAAGGAAATCGACGCTATTCGGAAGTCGGCGAAGGAATTTGGTGCGCGAAGCAGCGAGATCTCACAGGAGCTTCAATGCCTAAAGCTTGCCGAAAATAAAGGATCTCAGCTGTGGGATATTTTAAGTCTACCGACGGTATGTTTTTCTGCACAGCGATCGCGCTAGCTGTGATGGAAAGAACAGTGGAGCGGTGGATGGTTGGCCTCTTTTCATAAATAAGTAACCAGGTTGTGCGTTAGGTGAGATGCGTGCAGGAAAATACTGCTGTTACAGGAGGAAATAATATTTTTCGGGCAGAGTATGTTGCTGGTCTTCTGCTTATTTGTGGGTGGTATCCACGAGAAAGTAAACGGTCAGTCGGACGTCTTCTGAAGAAATAGCACATATAAATCGAGCAGTCTAGAAGTGCACAGCCGATTCTAGCATAACGGTACCCAGTAACATCGCTAACACCAACTGTTGGGGCAGTAGTCTTGGTATTGGGAGCAAATGAGTTTTGAGGATTCAGTAAACTGCAACATTTCTTTCCGTTGGAAACGGCCTTATTTGCAGCGCATGGATGTATGTATTCGAGCTGGCTACTACGACTTGGCTTATTCGCTGACCAACTACGGAGCACAGCTACAAACTTACGGACTGACAAAAAATCCAGTCATCAAGGTTTCCTGATTTGATTCACTTCGACACTTGTACTTTTAAATTAGTAAAGCAGTTATGATAATAAGTTGTTAGTATTTAATTAAGATGTAATTCACTGTTATGACTTTTGAAGTAATATTAATTTTTGTTGTGAGTCATGGGTTTTTCCCTGAAAAACTCGTCTTGTTCAGTAGCAGAAGGTCTCTTTTCACCGTGCCAATAATTTTGTTTTGTGCGGTACCACTGGTTGCAGTGTTGAAGATTGATTTGCTCATGAAAATTTCCGAACAGTCGAATCTTGCTTTTTTTTCAGCGAAAACCTTGAACCGTTAATGGGCTCGGGCTATTACCGCATACCATCGTGCCACGAATTAAACTCGGGGTTCTCTCTTTATTCGATTTCCTACAAAATTCAGAAACACTTGGAATTTTGTGTGGCAGTGCAGTGACTGTTTGCTGTCAATACTGTGGATGAAGGACGTTGATTGCTCTTTATGGGAATAAAATTACAGAAAAGAATGGAAAATTAAAAAAAAAAATTGGCCAACGCACGGGCTGCCCGTGCGAAGATGCGTTTTTTGCAGAACTCCCCGCAGTTTTTGTCGCTACCGGCATCGGTTTTTTCGCAGATGCTTCTAGTAGAAAGAATTTGAGACTGTCAGGAAACATCCCCTCAAAATTCCAGTCTTCTAGTTCCTCACGTTATCGAGTCAGTAAATTACGCGGAAGGAACTTTTCACGGGCCTGTACGTAGGTACCACGCTTACCCGGGGGCTGGATTTGAGCCCA